ATGTCTCCTGGGCACCTTCTAAATAAGGTTTTTAGACATGTCCCACCAGGAGGAAGCCTCAGACTAGACCCAGTATACGGTGAAGAAATGTCATCAGTTTTTCCTAGAGGAAGTAAAGGAGTCTGGGTGTCTCTACTTAGGCCAGGATAAGCAGCAGACAGTGAATGGTTGGATATTGCAGATATACAGATAATGCAGGGTTTTTACTTTACAATATAAAGAACCATGAGCTCACCATTATTGTTAATTGGCACTGAGTAAGTAAAACTGAAGTGAACTGAATTGAATTAGAGATTCTTCAACCACTTCCTGGAATGCACACAGAAAGCAGACTGCAAGTCTGCAAAATCAAACTTTTATCCCTAGAATGTGCACAAAAGTTAATAACAAATAAAGCCTCATAAAATACAAACATGCGCTGCTGTCATGAACAGAGGCAACATTATCATGGAATTTCTCAGACTTAATTTCTTCCATGGAGAATTGCTTCAGACACAAACTTGTGGTAGCACCCATTGTTTCCAAACCATACAAATAATAACAGTTATTCTTAGAACACGAAATAAACTGCTGCTGTAAGAGAAGGCATTGCAGGGTAATAAAACACGATTGGCCTGATAAGGCCATGTTTGTCAGCCCACGATAACTGCCTCTAACGATGCCCACATCGTTAGAAATCAATAGTAATTTCATCCCCAGGCGACAGGGGCATCAGCTTATGTTCATATCCAGCCCACTTCACTGATATTGACCTTGCACAGACATATATTAAATAGGACTATTATTTGGATCTTAACTGCCAGTTTTGGACACAACTGGCTCTTTTTTGTGCTTTATGCATCAACAGTCTTGAACCCGTTCAAGAAATACAGACGGTTAGTTATTTATTTAACATTAAGTGTTAGTTTGAGGCCTAGAGACGTGTTTATTTGAAGTGTATATTTAGATATTTTTCAAGGACTCTTCACTTAACTCACTTCACCCGATGAAGGCATTATGAAAGACCTTATACGTTCACAAGTCAATGTGCATGTTTTTATGTGAGTAATAAAGAGCTGGGGAGAGTGTGAGAGCATATGCAAATAGAAGCTGTTTTTAGACCACTGCTCGCTGTCTTTGATGTTTCTCTTGCAACTGTTATCCCCATGCGAATATGTGTGTGTGTATGCTCCCCCCTGTGCTCAGTTTCTGTGCTGTGACCTCTTTGATGTCCCTCTGGTACTTGTTGTTCATCTCCTCTGACTTGATGAGGTCCTTGCGGGCGGTCTCGAGCTCCTGCTCCACCTCGGAAACCCGGGAGGAGAGGGAGGACATGCGCTCCTTCATCTGGGCCAACTCGTAGTTCTGCTTCTCCAGCAGGTCCTGCAGCTCGATCACCTGACTCGCCTCATGGGCCGGCTCCAGAGAGCCATTGGACAGACGCTGGAGGGGAAAGAGGGGGACATGGAGTAAGAGGTCAACATATGAAAAGGGAAAATTATCCAAAAATATGTATGCGTCATGAAGCACAAAATTTGACAAGGGATGTTTGGGGATGATTTCTAACTTTTAGTGTACTTTAAAAAGAATTTAAGACCTTTTTTAAAAATGAATTCCCTTGCATGATGTCTTTTAAAACTCACAAATTAAGTGAGGCTTGTTGTATATAGGTAATAAGGTAATAATAAAGTAGTAATAAGACCACTGACAAGTGAGGGTTAGTACAGGATTTGGAAATTGGTTGTTAATGTTGTGGCTAATCAAAGTAAAAAATTTCTTTCTTTCTTTTAACACTCTAACTAGAACTTTTTCCTTGCAGTTGAAATAAATCTTTTGGATGTTAAATTATATCCCGAATCCTGACACGTGTCTTGTAATTCCATTCAGAATGCACACTTGCACCACAATAATCGCGATAACAAGTGATTATATTTTCTTTCTTTTTTCAAGTGTTAACCTAGTAAAAACCAGTACCTAAATCAAAAATAGAAGTTTGAGCTTTGAATGCAGGAAAATAAACACACTATCGAGACTATAAATGAACAATGGTGCAAAGCAATTTTCTGATTTCCTGTCATGCCTCGTCTTCCTGTCGTGTATTCAAGTGGGCCCTGAGAAATCAGCCATGCTTCCACTTCAGATAGCATGTCTGCTTTTGAGAATTACATACATTTGCATTCTAATAAATTCAAGTTCAGGAGCTCACGGCTTTGGTTCTTCCCCTGCTTTGATTCTGGATGGTCACAAAGACTGAATCACACCAGACTCTGCTGGAGAAATTGTTTTGACACTTGCATAAGTAATCTGATTAGATTTGCAAGGTTTCCACTCCGTACAGCTCTCCTGGTCTCTGCATGAGGTAGATTAATGAGGAGGATACCGCAGAGATTCAGCTTAAAAAAGGGTTTAGGGGAACAACAGAGGAAAACAACCTTATTATCAGTGCTAAATAACAAACATGCATAGTTTAAAAAACAAATCTTGCTTTTATACTCAATTGAGTTACAGTAAGGTGAATGACAGGATTGAGGGAAACTGATTTCTTCATTCTCCATCTTCCTCTGTCTTCCTGCTGTATTGCGAGGCACAGCTGCCCATCTTTGGCCATCCATCTGTGAGGACAAACCTAATTGGGCCTCTCTGTCTGCTGCCTGTGATCAATGATTCACTTGAGCAAGGAACAGGATCCACTAAATCACACCAGTGATTTTAATACGAGCATGCCAGCAGTGGGCCATGCTCATAAAATAATTTTATATCTTCTTTATTGCCAAATGGCTCAGCTGTCCCTCTTCGTAACTGGGGTTTCCATCGATTGGCTTGTTTCACAGATTTGTACCATTTAGGACCAGGAAAGTTTCCAGGGACAATGTTAATAAGAGTTACCCAACATTTCAAAGGTGGTGTATTGCTTTTTAACTCTGAATGACCTTTAAAATGGTTAAGTTTGGCTATGAAACAACTGCTCCCATTCATGCCTGCATGGATAGATGGACAGATAGTCTTGAGATGCCCCTCAATTCTTTATATTTTGCTCTGAGAACTAATGTTTTTAGAATTTTTTCAAAGTGGCCTTGAGCAATAGTTCTCCAAACTTTCTTAAGGTCTTTCAAAGTTTCTTCTTTGAACATAAGATGCTTTTTCACTAAGAGGAATGTTTTTGTTTATTAGGCCACTTAACGCTGCCTAATGAATTATCCAAACATAAAAAAGCACCTTACTAAACGGATGAACTACATATAACAGACAACTAAGCAAATAACCACATTTTAATTGCATCTAGGCACTTTAGTACTAGCAGCCTGTTGCAAAAACACATCATTTGTTCCTATTTCTTTAGTTGAATATACAAAAAATCCCAAAGATGATGCAGTTTGTCAGACAAAATATTCTCAAAAAGCTATTAGCTTAAAGTGACAGGGCTAAAACAC